AACATGCTGATTGTTACGGTTCTAACCAGGGTTACCGGATACTTTACGTACACATGTCCAAAATTAAGGCTTGACAACATCGCCATTGTTTTCAGTCACGTATGTCTACACAGGCGCCTTTGGCAGTGCCCCCCCCCCCCAAGAAAACTATAGGATCATAACATGCATGAAACAGCGTGTAGTTCATGGTAGAATGGGATGCACTCTGAATCCCCAGCTGGTATGTACACGTAAAATGAACCAAGACACGCAAGGTCGGTAATGTAGGCAGTGGGAGGACAGCGCTGAGGTAAACAAGTCTGCGCCGAATGGGATTCGAAGGGACAAGTAAGGAGAATGACTCTATTTCAAGTGACAAAGTGTTCTTCTGGAACCAATTGTTTGCGCGTTTGTCTACGTACTCGAGGTGCAAGGAACCTGACATGTGTGATTTAGGACAATTAGTCGGAAAGTGATATTATTAGTGCACTGTTGATGATGACCATAATGCTATTCAGAAGGTATGGGCACTAATAAAGGTTTTTAGTATAGTTGAGAATGGTGAGATGCCACATCTATGAAAATAAGTACAATGCAAAACGGGAGCAAGTCAAAAGAGGAACTCATAGTCTGTGAGAGTTCTCCGGGTGAAAATCCGGACGGCGGGAACGTGTTTTCTCCGCAGTATGGCTGCTACACGTGTTCCACGGTTGTCTGTGGACTTGTGGAAGGTGGTTGACATCCTTCTCCCTGTGCGCGCGCGAATCTGTGTGCTGATTGTGTTCGGTTTCCCTATATGTAGGTCCGTTTGCGTGTACGTGGGTGTGTCAGCACATGAGTTGTTGCTACGTTCACTAGACGGTACAAACGACCGATGTCCGATGAGTCACCTTAATGTGATGTGGTTTGTGAGTATAAAAAAGAAGTCTCGTGATCCAGTGAGCGACTGTGAGCTGAGCAGTCAAGTGTGGGTGACTGGGTAGCTACTCTACGCAAAGCAGACTGAGTGGAGGAAAGTGGTGAGATTAGTGGACTTGGTAGGCTGGATGCTGGAGTGTAACGACCACATGGCATACAAAGGACTCAACGTTACTGTAATGGATACTTTCCGGTGAAAGCATGGTTAGTCACCAGAGGATTTATGGCTCCCATACGGTCAGTGATGGACAGAAGCGTTGGAGGTGGTGGGATGGAGAATAGCACGATTGGGAGTTGCCTTCAGAGGTATGGAAAGATGAAGTGATAAGGTGACACTGTGTACATGTCTTTGGGGTAACAGACGCTGGCGTTTCGCTTTCGGTAATCAGTCCTGTCCATTCTCACATGCGTAGGTTCGACGGATCAATCCCGTACAATATACACTTACCAGACTCGGTTAAACACCCGACGTAACCACAATCGTTTCGATAAATGTATCCAGGGAAGTAGATTGGAATATCGGCGGCAAAACGTCAGTGGTGCCTCAAGCCATATCAGTGTAACGGTGATACTGCTGATTGGGGAGGCATGCGAGTAGTATGTTTTCTCCTAAATCTGCTTTGCGTCTCTTGAAAAGTGAGGTCTATTGCGGAGACGCTTTGAAGCATTTGCTTGGATTTGAGCAACAATCAATGAATATCCAGGAAAGTTCACGAAGACACGTTCAGAGAGAAGATGGATATTCAGTTCATATAAACAAGATGTATATGAGAGTTTTGCATCCCTGTCCAATAGTCTGTAACTGGTCAGTTGGAATTTTCCAATAAGTAACTCCGCGAAGAAGGCCTTCTTTCTTTTATCAGTAGCAACTCTGGATGAGTTTTGTCCCTTGCGTAAAAGGTTCAGAATAAGTCATCAGTTGTTGGGATCGGTCAGAATTCTATTCGGAGATGGAATGAATGAATGAACAATTCCAGGCTGACCGAAGAGATGCACCTAGGGGACTTGAAGCAATAAAGGCTAGCTCGTAGTCGGGGTGCGATTTGACCAGTTGGTTCACAATGCTGATTTCTGACGGGAAGTAGTGACCTCCCTGTACTGACATGCACAGAGTTGAGGTCGGCAAGCGAGGGGCTGGAAGAACTTGCGCCAGCCGCCTGCTTTTCCAGCAAGATGCAGTTGGGTCAGTCATGTGAAGGAGTGAAGAAAAGAAGTTTACTACTAACTGTGCTATCCAAACTTCAAATGTTTGGAAATTCGGTTGCTTTAACAGGAGACTCTGCTAAATCCGAGCTGAATCTCTCCTCTAGAATATTCACCAACTTATTCTATTGGCCGGAGATCGCCCTATACTTCAGTAGGTACGCTTTTCGAAATAACACAGTACATTATATATATATATATTTATATAACAGGGACTGTGTGGGGTTGAGACGGAAGGTACGGGCGCTATAGTATGGAGAACGGTTGACCCGAACCACAAACTGCGGTCGGCTTGCTCAGAGATCCCAGAAAACCGATAGATTGCTTGTTGCATTGATCGACATTTATGAGGGAATGCACACCAGAGCAAAACAAAGCTTGATCCTTGATGAGGTGTTGCCAACATGACTAGTTCTCACGTTTGACGAAATAGTTTATCGTGAATACCACCATGACTAAATCCAGGTTAAATATAAATTAAATGATTCAGAATTTTTCATATTTCTTATCACGGAAAATGCTGAGGAAAACCAATCGAATTGGCGACGGTTACGGGAACCACCTGATATTCAACTCAGGGATCCAGCTTTCCTGATTCAATCATAAAATGTCTTGAAAAATAGCTAATTTAGTCCCTTCGTGTATATTTATCTCTGTGCTCTTTTAGAAGAGCCAGAGAAGGCCAACGGTTAACCTCTCTTAAGAGATGCTATTCCTTTGTAGCCAATTTGGATGTTTCCGGCTCCCTGAGAGGAAATCTCCGGGGACAGGAACCAGCCATCTACTTTTGAATTGACCTTTTAAATGCCCTGCAGTTAGACGAAGTCCGGCCACGGAAAACCTGGTCAGCTTCAGTCACATGGAGAAGTTCTTACTTCCTCTGATTCTTTTACCTTCTTCGATTGAAGTAAGCACGAGGGCTTAGTTACAACCAGGTTCCTTTGGTCTAGACAAGGGCGGTCGAGATACCGAGGCTAAGTTCGAACCATGGAACTTCCGGTCAGTAAGTTGGTACTTCAGCCTGTGAGCTACCTCGATCACTTCACCTTAACTTCAATTCTCGAAAACTGCGTTTCCCGAGTTATCAACTTTCCGGATTACTTGCTTATTTCAACTAGCGCGAAAAATGTCTCACGTAAGTTTCGATGATTTTATATGTGTTAGGTCCTCCCCATATACATGCAACCTCTGAGTGTAAGCGAAGCCTAAAAACCTAATGATGTCTCTCCATAAGAGAAGTCCTCTCAGAGCCCCACATGAAACACCATACAGTGCGGTCGTATCTTCGGAATTTACTCTGTTTCATTGTCAGTTGTCAAGGCAATCCTGCGTGGCACGGGCAGAGTGAAGTGCAACAGTTCGCAGGGTATAGGGAGCGGTTGAACAGAAGTAGTGAGGCAAAACACCGCGGTTGTTCTGCATCCCGTATCGCATGTACAACTATTCAGTTGGGCTAGTAACAATCACACGGTAGCCTGGTCAGCCTTCAGCATGACTTTACTGTGGACAAGTGGATGTCCCATATTGTCCCTCTACCTAATACTGTCAGTAATCTCCCAAGATGAGCATATTTACTTTAAAGACAGTAATTGTCAAAGTGTGTGGATTGACTGAAAAGTCTATTTGATTTGGTGAAAACTACATTTCCCATCTGGCGCCCGTAACATGTTAATTCTAGGATTGGGCTCTTGACTTCAGACTTGTGTTCAGTTGCAAGGCTGCATGGGGTCTTACAAATTTCCTTGATTTGGAGAGTGGGTACCGTTCCCCCTGAACCTGTTATATTTGTGTTCATCATCAGGTAGGCACAGTCCCCGAGTTTCCATCAACTTTATGTTCTACTTGAACCCAACTTGGACTGTTTTCGAGAAATGCACTCATTTGCAAATCAATTTGGTTTTCACGAGAGACTCAACTGAATCTCTCGTTCATGATATTCTACAACTGAATGTGCTGCACACGGGCCGCCTTATGTTTCAGTTGGCACGATATTCGAGATATCGCAGTATATTTTCATACAGGAAACTACTCACAAGTTGCTGTCGAAGAGGTTTCAGCAACCTTGTGAGGAGTTTCCTTTATAGAAACTTGTGTAACTCTATCACTAGACTTCAGATAATTGCTTCCCCCTAGCGGACTGTCGAAACGGAACGACTCAGCCTGTGTATGTTAGAATTGGAGCGTTAAATGCCAACGAACTCACATCTGTCTGTTATTCAGTCTTCGGATAGCTTCTAAACAGCACTCTGAATGGAGACTTTGTATGTACTGCACGTACTGAGGAAGTACACAGACATTTTAATCACGATCCCTCCTGCATTGGCTCATTAAAGTTCACGGATCTGCACAAGGTCCTGAAACTTTCCAATTGCTGTATTCCACACCGACTGCTTATTGGAAGGCAAACTGTGAAACTTCATTTCGTCAGAGCATATAGAACATAAAAAACTAAATGAACACGGTCTAACTTGAGAGCCTGTGTCACAGTGCAGTTCAGTGGTGCGCAACATTTGTGTGGTCAGTTTGATTAAGAACAGAAGAACGAGTTTTTTTGAATCTTTCTGTAAGAAGCCTTCTGGGGATTGCACACGTTTGAACATGTTATACGCGTCAAATGTACAGCCTGGTATAGTCTGGTTCTCGATGGACCACTTAGGATAGATGTTAAAGATAAGACACTGTACGTATTAAAGCCAATTAATAATTTGTAAGTAGACTGTGTCTGTTATTGGAATCACTTAGGTCGCCTATTTATTGCGTATCGATTGTCCGCTAACTGGGACATTTTCAACATCTGGGCTTTGGTCACGTGTCGCATTGGCACAACGTGCTGAGGGCATGCGAAAGTCCGGCAACCGGTATACGTCGTGCGATGCGGTTACGGAATGATCACCGAACCACTAAATCAGGGTTCGGAAACAGCTTAGTGAACGTCGCGCGCAATGCATGTTATTTTCGTGGTTGTCCATCATGTGAAATTCGTTCAACCAACGCGTTTTAAAATCGTTTGCACTCGGTGCTACCTTACCAGGCTTCCTCTGTAGGATAAGAATGCATTCTGGTGATGAAGTATCTTCGCTTGCAGTTCTTACTTGAGCATAGCCAGGTGACAAAAAAGAAACCACTAACTCGTATCGACCTAAAACATGAAAATTATGGACCTTTATTCGGGTTGGATTGGTGACGCGGGTTCATCTGGGAGAGTAAGCGAAATGAGGGACCTTCAAAGCAAAAGCGAAGAAGACTGTTTTACACCCACCGGACATTCCGATAAAGAAGAAAGTCTTGTTGCTTAGCTGAGGATATGTACGTTTCTCATTAGTCGGCTTTTTTTGAAAAAAAATAACACCTCCACCTTGATGCACTGTGAAATCCGCCCAATGTGGTTTCTCGAGTGGAGATGGAATGAACCTGTTTATTGATGGTCACCATTACCTAGTTGAACTTGGCTCGCTTTCAAAGTGCTTACCTAGTAAGTGTGTATGTCAAGAACTACTCTGGGTAGCGACCACAGATCGTTCAGCATTCAAATTGCCTTTGTAAGGAAGAGTAAGGTTTGGAGTCCATTTTTATTCATCTCACTGCTTCTCCAACGATCGACGCTTGGCTGAACACCATAATCTGTTAGTAGAATTAGCGAATATACACTCATTTGCAAACTAATTTGTTTTTTTTTCGGGAGAGACTCACCTGGAACCCAGCTGAATCTCTCGATTGTGATGTTCCCAGGCACCTGGGAGTGCTGCACCAGGTCGCCTCATGTTTCATTCGCTACGATATTCGAGATATTGCGATACATGTATATCTTTGTAGTGTACTACTCACANATTGCACGAAATTAGCGAATATACACTCATTTGCAAACTAATTTGGTTTTTTTCGAGAGACTTACCTGGAACTCAGCTGAATCTCTCGTTTGTGACGTCCTCAGGCACCTGAATGTGCTGCACCAGGTCGCCTCATGTTTCAGTCGCTACGATATTCGGGATATCGCGATACATGCATATTCGTAATGCACTACTCATAAGGTTGCTGTCAATTCGTCTTGGTTTCTTATGGGACGGACTTTGACCGGGCCCGGGAGATGACAATCCAGCGATCCCACACTTCAATGAATACTCAAAGGAATCAACCAAAATGGATGTTTCCTGCCAGTTGTCTCCTTCGAGAACGGGGTCT